GATGGAAGAAGCCCTTTCAGAAGAAGTACTGTTCCATCTCTGATGCCAGCACTTATGGCTGACTGTAATGTGCAGCAGAAAAAGGAAGGTCCAGGGAGTCAGTGTGATAATCATCGATCTCAGGAGGTTGGAGGAGGAGGAGGGACAGTCACACCGAACAAAGGAATGAGAAGGAAAGAAAAAAGGAAAGGAACTGCATCCTCAGATGTGGTCTGGGAGACTCTGGATCCCAGAGTCTGAGGTTGTGTGGTTTTATTGAGCGTTCTGTGGAGACGACCGTCAGCGTACGCTGTAATCTCAATAAACCCCATTCACCACCAAACATCTGAACAGAAGAGGTAAAATAAGATGGAGTGTGCATTTCAGCGTCCCCCTCAGAGTGGAATAAGAGCGGAGTGTGCAGTCCAAGGTCCTCACACTATGTAATCAGCATGGCAGGGTTCCTGTGATGTGTTCTCAGCCTGTGCTGTTCTGAGGATCACTGGGGCTCAGAAACAGGTAGTCCATAGATTCTAGACATTCCTCTAAAATTTGTAGAAACAGACAGCACAGTGAAAAGCGATAAATTTTTTCTAGAATTTGATTTTCCTCCATTAAAGCTAAGGTTATTAGGAGTTCTGTGTGGCAACAGGTCCCTCTATAAAGCACCTGATGATGACATCGCAGTGTGAGGAAAGGGTGAACAAGCCTCCCCTGTGTTCTGAGGACGTGAGCACCGTGTGCAGACAGCTGTAACAGGTAACACGTGTCCCCATCTGATCCCACAGTTAGACCTGAGTGTCAATCATTCACTGCTGTGGGACAGCTGTGGGTCCTCCATGTGGGAAATCATCCTGACTGTGGGGCTCTGCAGATCTGAGGAGCCCAGTGTGAGCTCCAGTCTCCTGCACAGCGTCCTGCTGGTCAGCCTCTGCTCTTCCACAGGAGAAAATGACAGTGAGGATAAGGACCAGGCGTCCTCTTCTCAGTGTCTCTGCTGAAGGAGAGAAATCCATAAATTCCTGGAGGATAATCTCTCAGTATTTAACCCTTCCTCATGAATTGGAAACTGTTCTGTCATATAGCACAGACGTTAGGAATGGCACAATTAGGCGGATGCTGGAAATTATGGTTTGCAGACAGTGTGCCTGGAGTTAGAAGCTGCCAATGACATAGTTAAAACTCTGGTTTCTAATAAAAGTTTCGATCCTGTGCCTCCCCGGAACCCACTTCCTATGGCTGTGATCTCAGGTTTCACACTTCCCCTGGCCTGAATCCCAGAGCTTCTCCCCGAAGTTCATCACCTGTTTTGTGTCACTGATGGAAAACCCGGCCAACTCTCCACTGTCTCCCAATTCTACCTATTGTCCAAACCTCAATCCTAAACACTCCTGTAACATGCCCTCCCCTCACTGAGCTTGTGCCCTGAGCACCAGGACACTCTCGAAAATCCTCAGGATTTGATCCTGGGGCCTCTACAGAGTCACTTCTGCCCCATGTGATGCTCTGCATGTTGTTAGGTCAGAGAGGATCCTGTATTTAGACATACACAGCACAGCAGATAACAGAACTTAAAAGATATTTGATTACTTCAAATGTTAGTAAAATACTTCAAGACAACTTCCATGAGAAAACTGCTCTGTGATAGGACAGGGAGTCCTTGAACAGAAGTGTTCAGTCTTTCATGCCCTATACACTTACACAAGGTTGACTCTGAGATCCATATTTCCTGGGCACCCCCTGCAGGCCATGAGCGCCATCGCAGCGAGGTTTGTGTCCGGGCTCACACTGAAGTCCCCTCATGGTGTGTCTCTTGCACAGTAATACATGGCTGTGTCCTCAGACCTCAGACTGTTCATTTGCAGGGACACGGTGTTCTTGGAATTGTCTCTGGAGATGGTGAATCGGCCCTCTACAGAGTTGGCATAGTATTGAACAATTTCTATAGTACTTACTAGTGCCACCCACTCCAGCCCCTTCCCTGGAGCCTGGCGGACCCAGTTAATGCCATAGCTACTGAAGGTGAATCCAGAGGCTGCACAGGAGAGGGTCAGGGATCCACCAGGCTGCACCAAGCGTCCCCCAGACTCCACCAGCTGCACCTCACACTGGACACCTGCAAACAGAGAGAATCCTGGTCAGGAACCTGTCACACATGTTCACTGTCCCTCTCACTTTTGTCTACTCACAGGATCAGCATTTCCTGTTCTTCATAAATTACCTTTTAAAAGCACAACAAGGAAAACCCAGCTGAGCCCCAACTCCATGGTGAGTCTGTGTTCAGTGCTGACCACTGGATGAAAACACGGGGGATTGCAGGGCTGGGCTCCTCTGCTGAGCTGCCAGTTCAGGGCTGGGCTGGTTTTCTGGAGCACAGGGAGGTCTTATTTGCATATGTTCTTGCTCTATAGCAGCCCCTGCCTTCTCTCCTTGTTGTCTCTTCTGCGACATGGTTCATGTTCCCAGGAACTTGTCACATTGCCACTGTGTTGTGGAGCAGGGGGGTCCATGACTGCCCTGTACTCAAATACATCTGAGCTACAAGGCACACCTGTACCAGAACCATCAGAGATGGGATGACTTGCAGATTGTCCCATGTTTCACTCCAAATAATTATTCTATCTTTAGGGATGGGACGTGTATCATCTGAGTTTAGTGTCCCATGCCCACATGATAATTGTGCATCAGTATGTGGCCATGCAATCGAATCAGCAGTTTCCCATTTTGTCCCCATATGTGCCTTCTGGATTTAAACTATTTATTCATTCCCATTTTCAGGAAAATTCTTTACTGATATCATAATACAGTAACAAATTCCATCACATTCATCACCGACCTTGACCTGGGAGTCAGATTGTAGCTGCACTTGTGTCCACGGAACACAGTTGGAAACATCTCTACGAAGGTCTGAGTTCAGCTCTTCCCTGAGTCCCAGGCATCATGTTTCCACTGTCCGTTTGTCCATGACAAGGTCCAGAGGAGATCAGTGTGGAGACATTCTACCCCAAGGAAAGGGGGGAAACAAGACTCCATGAGGCAATATGCTAACACCCAGTCCGGAAGACTTAGTCACAAGAAACTGGATAATGCCAAGGCTCTCACTCTTTAGTTTTAGTTAAACCACTGTGGACATAACAGATTAAGAGTTTGGGTTCCCAAGCCTAAGGGGCACATCTACAATCAACTTCTATACCTACGGCATTACACAGAACAAGGGGTAAAGGACACTAGTGCATCTCTCTGTTCTTATTAATGAAGCTCCCTCATGCTACAGAGGGCAGGGACACACAAGGTCACAAGTGGCTAAAACATGGAGTGTAAATGTCTACAGAGTGTGGGTCTTTGGACAGGACTCCCATATTAAACTCCACCCACCCAGGGCTCAGGGGAAGAGGGGGATTGTAAGACCCAGGGAGGAGGTGCATGACTGTATGGAAATAGAATCCTACAAACTCTTGGGACCTTGCTCATATGAACCTACAGCAATGGTGTCAGCCTGCACAAGACCCTGCAAACTCAAGCAGACAAAACCCGATCACAGAACTGTGGAAATGGGCACCAAGCCCCAGTCAGAGTTGAAAAATGATTGGCAGATGATGACTGCTGGCTGAGAAGAGCTGATCTTCTTAAAGGGAGGGACTCTAGATAGGCTGACTAGGCCCCTGTGGA